TTCCGGAAGCGACGCGGCGGCGTCGCGGTGTGTGTAGCCGGACTCGAGGGAAAACAACAAAAGCACAGCGGGGGAGACCGGGCGAACGGTTCTCTTGAACGTGAATGAGGTCCTTCCGTAAACCGAGGGAGCGGAGAGATATCGACAGGGTGTGCTGAGTAAACGGAGAGTGGGTGGTGGCGTCGGCCTGCGGGGGCTGTGGCGGAGACTAAACAAAAGAAACGCATCGGGGGGCCCTATTCGCCCGCGTGCTTAGTACTGCAGTGCGTGCCCCGCAACAGCGGCGGCGGAGAGCGGGGTGGCGGATGTTGGCGATCCTCGCGGACACCGCGGGACCCGAGGGACCTTCTACTTCCTCGCCGGCCTATATCGAGAACGCCCGGAAGCAGCGGCGGCCAGTGCAGACTCGGTAAAGTAAAACGTGTCCGGAGTTGCGCGGGTCGACGGCGCGGTCCTGGCCGGCAGGGCCGTCGCCATCACGTCAGCGCGAGTTACCTCCGCGATGCTACCGACCGCGCCGTGCGCGAGGAATGCGGAGGGACCGCGCGGCGCAGCGACACCGAACGGGCCTATCGCCCGCGAGCACGCGAACCCCGCGCCGGACCACCGGCAGTCTCCGGGGGGAGCACTTCGAGCTTGCCAAAGGCCGAGCCAAAGGCCCTTCTAGCCCTTCGCTTCTACTAGTCCTGGAGCGCCTGGGGCAGACATTAGGGTGGCTAGCTGCACCGGCAGCCTTCCGAGGGAACCACTTCGCGAGCCGAGCGAAGAGCGAAGGCCCTACTAGAAGCCGAATAGCACAGACTTTAGTACTCATTTTTTGGGGAAAGCCGTTCGTAAGATAGCGATGGTCGGGCTCACCGCCCCGCGAACTTTGCTTTTTGCTGCGCTCCTTCGAGGAAAAGTTGGCCAGCCCAACACCCTCTTCGAGATGGGCGCCGGGCTGCTACTTTGGTAAGAGAGCGAGTAAGCGTTTGTGGCCGCGATGATTCTCACTTCACAGAAAAAGGTCGTAAACGGGTCCCCTAAACACACATACATGCAGCCGGGCTGCGCTGGCGGCGCTGTACCACGGGCTGTGCTGTGCCGCACCAACCCTCCCACCCCCGCCCAATAGCTCGGACGGACAGCAGCCGGTCAGGGCACTCAAGTGAGTACGGGGGGCAGAGGAACTTCGCTTGAAATTTATTTGGGGAAGACACACAGTCCGGGAAGTGGGCAGACTGAAACCAAAAGTCGAAAATATATGGCCCGGCGGACCAGCGGGCGATAGTCCAACGCGCCTTCCGACTTTTGCAATAGTTTACACTAATTCGTTCAATTCTGCGACACGCCATCACTTCAACCGGCTCGTTAATGTGTCGAATCCAAGGGGCACTTCATTGTGTTTAATTAACGTGGAGGCCGACAGCTCCCAGGACCACCGCGGAGCCGAGGGGATTCAGTCCTTTTGAATTAAATATAAAAAGAAGGCTGCCGTACACACACATCGATCGGTTTCACCGCGCTCCCGCGCTGCGAGGACCATAAGATAAAAAGTCATATAAACACTGACAAACTGTGAAATAAACAGTTGGGAAGAAATAAGGCCGTGCTGTCGAGGATGGCACGACCGGCGCGCACGGGATGGGGAGGGGGGGGGGCGGCCCCCCGCGGGGCGCACAGCATCGCACCGCGCCGCGCCACGTCGCACCTCGCGCGCTCTCATGAGCTCAAATTTATGCATTCCGGGAAGCGTTTCATTTCCATATTATGAGAATTGCTTTACGGTGTCGTGTTGACCGAATTAAAGCGCCCTGCAACAGAGTCCGCGGGGACGACAATTATTTATCGGTGCGCCGATGTGGATACACCCCGTGCTCGCGGGGCAGTTCGGGGCGCTCGCTGGCAGCGTGCGCCTCTGAGCACCTAGTCAACTTCTAGGGTGGCCCCGTTGCGGATAATTTGAAGGGCTAACGGGTGGTCACGTGGGCTCAGTTTTGTCACAAATTTGTAACTTGCAACATAAAGAATTCAGAACTACCTAAGATGTGTATAAAAATGCATCTTTCTCTGGACAAAAAATAATGCCGTTTGGCAATCTTTGGTAATTATTGGTAACCTTCGGTAACCGTTGGTAATCTTTACAATTTGGTAATCCGCTGTTACACACTTTTATGGGGTTGGGGTTGGGCACCCCGGTTCCCATGGAATCCCACTTTCAAACGGCAACAAAATCCAGCCAGCTGTCGTGACGACATTTTCTCAAGAAGTTCGGGATGAAAGCTCGTTCCTCGTATTTCTCCAGATCAGCGCAATCAGCGGGATACCATTCCTGAGAAAATTGCTCCCGGGTGCGGTATGGTTTTTTCTTTGGTAAAGTTTCAAGTTTACCATGTATACGCGAGATGGTGGTGCCAGCTCGTCGCCTCGCACCGCACCCCGCGCGGGAGCGGTTGACACTTTTCATGCATCGCGGCGTTTGACAAAGCTGAGGCGCGGCCGGGCGCGGCCATGTGCGTCCTGGAGGCTGACGCGGCCCCTGTCCCGTTGGAGGTGACTGACACGGCCAGGGGAGGACGGCGCGGCGCCGGCGTCTGCAGTCAGTCCGAAGCAAGCCTTCGCGGGATGCTCGTGCTCCTCGTGCTGGCGGCGACGTTCGACGCCGTCGTCGCGGCCACCGAAGAGGCTCCGGCTGGCGGCCTGACGCCCACACCCGCGACCGACGTCACCCTGGTGATGGTCGCGGGCCGACACGGCGCCGAGTCCTTGTTGTCGACGTCGTCAGCTACCACGGCCTTCTCAGACGGACCTGCCCCGGTAAAGCTGTTTCAGGAACACTACTGGTGGAGTGTTGGGAAATTGGGAAGATTTTGATGAATCTTATGGCATCTAGTTTTTAAAGTGGAGAGGCGATCGTGGGGGCCATCATCTTTTCGTGGGCTGTATTTTATTTAGCAGACGTCGCGCCAATTATTCTTGAATAATGCTGTTTTCAAAATAATGCTGTTTGAACCGTGTAGGAAGCACAGGCGCTGGGATCGGCTCCGCGGCTCCAGGACGGGAGCGTGAACCCGGACGACAGCCTCCAGGACGACGACGATGAGGAGTATGGTCAGTAACAACGAAAACGCGTGGAAATGAAGCGGGCAAATGAACATTCAAAGCAAATGTGTTAATCAAAAGAAATTGTGCGCTGCCGTTTTACAGAAGATGACGATACTGAGGAGTACGAATACGACGAGGAGGAGGACGAGGATTCTTACGAGGATCCCGATGAGTTCGAGTACGAGGATGGTGAGGGCGACGATGACGAGGAGGAAAGTAGCGGTCTCCGGGACGCCGAGTACGAGGAGGAGGACTACGGCGAGGACGACGACGATGAGCGCGAGGGGGCGGGCGACGGCGAGGTCCAGCCAAAGGAAAGGACGGCCGAGCCCGTAGAAGAGAAGGCCGAGGAGGCCGAAGAAAAGGTCATCCAGGACGCCGTCGTGCGTGAACGGCGCGCCGAGGTGCGCAGTCTTAGCGACCTGCCCTTGTCCAAGCTGCTCCGCGTGCAGACAGAACTGCGCCGTCTCACCGGCCACTCGGCGCCCAAAGGTTACTAAGGGTGACAAACGGTGACAGAAGCCCACCGTCAAAGTTCAACTTCAATTAATCCAACTCATTGTTGTTTTCTCTGGCTCAGATCAATGCGACGGCCAGAAGAAACAAGACGGGCCATCTCGCCGGTGGATGTCGGGGGCCACCGCCGTGGAGAGGGGTGCGGCCGCGCCAACCAGCCCCAACGCGCAGCCCCTCAACTGGGGCGCCGCCACCTCGCCGACGGCCGGCAGGCGGAAAGGTGAGCGGCTCCGGCTCAGGCGCATACGCCCTTCTAAGCCCTCAAACTACTACTTCATATAACGTCTGTTACAGGGACCCCAACCAGCACGCAGTCCCCAGTGCGCCGCCGTGGAGGCGGGGTAGGCGACCGCGGTGGCGGGGACCGGGGCGGCGGCTGGTCGTCGCACGAGGACTGGGAGGAAGAGGTGCACGAGGAGGAGGAGGACGAGGGCGGCTGGATCAGCTGGAACAAGGGCCACAAGAAGAAGGGCAAGGGCGACATTGGCTCCATCTTTCACATCTCCGTCACGTTCCTGGCCTTCCTCGCGTTCGGCGGCTACCTGCTGTGTCTCATCATGCAGGCCGTCAAGGGCAACGGTTACTACAACTACCCTGGGGCGCAAGGTGCGCTGCGGCCGGCGCCCAACGTCATGATGGTCATGATGCCGAACCGGGCCGTGACGCGGCGCCCGGGCAGGCCCACGGGGACGACGACGGGCAGGAGGAAGCGGGACGCGACCGACCAGCCTCCAGACGGGGGACAGCCAGCGTCCTGGAGGGACTGGGTGCCGTCATTCGGCGAGGAGGACATGCGGCTGCTGCCCGAGGTGTGTCCAAAGACCTGTACGCCATCGAACAGGCCCGCGAACAGACCACTATGACTTTGGGTAAACACTGTGCTAGTTGCAGATGGACGTGGACCGCATGCACCGCGCCCTGCTCGTCGTGGCCGAGGGCTACGCCTCTTTCTACCACAAGAAGTACACCTCCGTGCAGCCGTAGGCAGCGCAGGTGCGCATCACGCCCGACAACGCCTCCGCTAAGCCCGTCAGAGCGTGATGCGTGGCGTGACACGGCGTGACCCCGGGCGTGACAACCGCTAGCGGCGTCACCGAGTGTGACAGCGGCTGTGGGCCGCGGGGCCTGCCCTGCACGCGCAGTGTCGCGCAGTGCAGCCATCAGGATGCTGGGTCGGCTGCTCGCCGTGTCCGCCGCTCTGTGGCTCCTGGCGGCGCCCGCGGCTCCCGAGCGCGTGGCCAGCGCCACCCCCACCAGCCCCACCGCCGACCAGCCCCAGCAGCAGAGGCACATCAGCCTGCCCGACGTTCTGGACCCTACTGGTACACTCTGACTTGACTAAACATGAGGTGACCCAAGGTTTTTCGTTAAAAGATTGCGCCCATAGTGAAAACAAAGCATTCTTTTTGAGTTCTTAACTTTTTATTTCTTTTTAAAGGGGGGCATGGTCACTATTTGAGATTATCGATTTTTGATCATTAAACGAGAAGTCGTCCTTATAGTTCATTCCGCTAAATGTGGAAACACCGGTATCCCTCTAATCACTTCACTCGCTCGGACAAGGATATGTGGGAGCTACAATCGTTAAAATGCTTTCCGTATTTTGATGCCTTTTATCAGAACAGTCACCAAGAATACAAAGGTGGAGAACTGACATGGGCAAATGGGATCTACTGCTTGCTCATTCTCGCTCCTTCCGCAGGGGTTGTCGGGCACATCGGTGAGACCTTGGGCCAGGCGGGGCGCGTCCTGGGCCTCCGCATCGCCGACACCGTCGCCGACCTGGTGAGCAGCGCGTTCAGCCACAGCCCTGCCAAGACGCACTTCCCGCAGCCGCCGTGGACCCGCGGCGACCCCGGCGTGGCCCCGGTGCCGATGTCGGGCCCGTACAACCAGTACAACCCCCCGCAGCAAGCGGCGCCCATGGCGGCGACCCCCTCCGTGCTGGGCGGCATCCTCAGGCTGCTCGGCCTCGACTCCAGCAAGCTCGGCGCCATCGCCCTCAACGGCGTCATCTTCCTCGCCCAGCTCGTGAGTTCACGTCTTGTAGACGGTCGTCACCGCCAACGTTCTGCTTAGCGTCTCAAAAACAAACAACGGCGTACAGATCAGCAGTTCATTCGGCGCTCGGCCGGGCGTGGCGACGCACGGCAGGTCGAGAGGTGCGGCCAGCGGCGCCACGGCGGATGGCGACGCCCAGCAGGGCGCGGCCGACGAGGCGGACGTCACCGCTGAAGAGGACCTCGACGAGGAGCCCGCCGGTACACCGCTCTCCTGGATCTTGGACAACCCCGCCGTCAAGGTAGGCAGCACAACGCGCGCGACTGTCGGCTCGGTGGCCCACTCCCTGGTCCACAGGCGCACGCTGCCGGCGCGCCCCGCTCGGCGCGACCAGACCCTAACGGGCCTAACAGTACACCTGTCTGGATCAAGCTTTACCGTACGAACAGACAGTTGGGGACTTCTTTCCTCGCACCGTGTGTGATTTCGCCGCAAAAAAAAATATGAAGCGGGCTCCCGGGTGTCGACCCGGACTGTCCGAAAATCGAACTGATTTCGGTACAGAATATTTTTATAAGGGGATGAAAACTCTAAGATGGTCCACAGACCCCATCCTTTAATTTGCTTGCACTGTACCGCATGGAGGCGTGCGGGCGCGTTGCACACTCACACGGGACCATGAGGCGCCGCCTGCATGCGGTACAGAAAGGGTCTATGGACCACTCTGGACGCGCAACTAAAACGAGTTATATACCAGGTGGCTGATTCACGCCACGCACTCCTGTAGTTATGCTGTACCGCATGCACGAGTGCGGGCGGGTTGCCTACTCGCTCGGCTCGTAAGGCGCCGTGGACAGGGGCGATAGGCAAGCCC